CGGATGGAATTCGGAGGAGGCCTAATCTGTGGGATCTGATCGGTCTATTGGAGGTAATTGGCAAAAGTGATTGTCCACTAGGACTCCATGGTCTCTCTCACAGTTACTACTATTGAGCGAGGTACCACCTACGTATATTGTGCATTTGGTTTTTGTTGCCCAAATGTAGAAGTTTACTTTTTCCACCATTGATTAGATTGGGCCCCAATTTCAGATTATTGATTTGGCTCAGCAAAAAATCACTTCAATTTAGATTTTCGTTTCGGATGATTACAGTGATTAAATTCAGATATGATGGGGGAAAAAAACGTTTTGCAAATGCACATGAGGCCATCTAACGATGGGATATTTTAGACAGCTTTTGATCCACATTAAAAATCCGGAAAATCAATTTGATTCAGCGACTATCAAATCATCTTTAAATTGCATCCAGTGAGCGGAAACGTAACTTGTCAACATGCTACACCAAGCATGATGTAGTCTTTTAAATCAATGGAAGATGTCCATCCTAGCAAACCTACCCCAGCTACTCAATACTAGTGCAGGAAGTCCTCGACTTACGACCACAATGGAGCCCCAAATTTCTGTTGTTACATGAGACATTTGTTGAGTACATTTTGCCCCACTCCTGCCACAGTTGTTAAGTGAATCACTGCGGCTCTTAACGGACACGGTTGGTCGTTGGATCTGGTTTCTCCATTGATTTTGCTTGTCAAAAGGTTACAAAGGGGGATCAGGTAACCTTGGAACACAGCAACGGTCACAGGGGTGAAATGCTACCAGTTCAGACCGGTTCGCCCGAACTGGTAGTAAAAGATGCCAGCTGTTTGCCCGAACCGGTCGTAAAAAAAATGCTACCGGTTTAGGCGAACCGGCTTTTCTGACGATCAGCTGTGCCGCGCGATTTATATTAGCTAGAAAGCGGGATTTCCTGCTTTCCTAAATCACGTGGCACAGCGGATTCCACCCCCACTGTTCGTTTACCTCTGTAGGCATGCTCAGTAGCTGGCTCCGCCCACCCACTTGGACGTCACTTTGATTCTTTGCACATGTGCGGAAGGTCCTGCGCGTGCCCAGAGGAAGTGCGTGCGAGCTAAGCGAATGCGCGCTCCAGCTCCCATTGCTACCGAACCAGTAGCAAACATACATGGATTTCATCCCTTATAGGTCATAAGTATGAACAAATTGCCAAGCATCTGAATTTTGTTCACCTGATTTATGGGGATGTTACAATGGTCATAAGAGTAAAAAAAATGGCCACAAGTCACTTTTTTCACTGCCTGTGTAACTTTGCGCTATTATCACTGAATGAACTGTTGTAAGTCGAGGACTACCTGTAGCACATGTGTGCTGATGGCTAATCCTGCTAATTCAGAACTGGGTAAACAAGGAATTAATTTATTTCTGCTCTTTGGGAGTTGCTTGAAGTAGCACGTTGCATACCTAGCAAAATAGGTTATTCCTGTTAAATCACAGATTGCAAAAATCTGTTTCAAGTGGGCAATTTTCACAGTTACTTTAAGTGATTTAAAAGTATTTATTTTGGCTGTTTTCCCCCCCTTAAGCAATATAAATGCATTCATGATTAGTAGCAGACACAAAAGACCAGCCTTGCTAGGAGAATGTGTTTATATTGAGCAGCTTGTTAGAAATATACTTTAACTTGGAGGAGAGTCTCTGTTATTGACAAAACAGTAGTCTTGGAATATGTGATTTGAAAATTGGGCATTAAAAAGAAGACACCGGTTCCATGGGAGTTTTTAAAGCATCAGATATAATAATATGAAGAAATAAGGAGAAAATAGTGCGGCGTTTCATCCATACATTTATTTCTTTTGTTTCAGCCTTTGCATGCTCTAAGGACAAAGCACACACTATTATAACTTCTTCCCGGCAAAGCAAAACAAAACAGACTCCATTAAATAAAATCGAAGAGGGGCATTAAATTAGTGAACAATACAAGAGATACGAAAAACCCAACGGAATTGAATAGTTTGTACAGGTAGTCAGTCCTCCATGTACGACCACAACTGAGCCCAAAATTGATGTTGCTAAGTGAGAAATCTGCTAAGTGGGTTTTGGTCCATTTTACGACTTTTTCTAGCCACAGTTGTTAAGTGAATCACTGCAATTGTTAAAAATACTACCGTGTTTCCCCCAAAATAAGACAGGGTCTTATTTTCTTTTGACCCCCCCCCAAAATAAGCGCTTGGCCTTATTTTCGGGGAGGTCTTATTATTTTTGAGGTGCAGGAGGCTGCGAGCATGGTCACCTCGTGGCTGCTGCTGTGTTGCAATATTTTGGGGGAGTGCTTATTTTAGCGCATGCGCTCAAAAGCTCGATTGGGCTTATTATCCGGGGAGGTCTTATTTTCAGGGAAACAGGGTAATAATGAAGTGAGCCTGGTTTCCCCGTTGACTTTGCTCATCAGAAGGTTGCAAAGGAGGATTGTGTGACTCTGAAACACTGCAACCATTATAAATGTGAACCCGTTCCCAAGCACCCAAATGTTTAATAGCAACAGAATTATATACCGCTTCACAGTGCTTTACAGCTCTCTCTAAGCAGTTTTACAGAATCAGTAATATGGTCGATAACAATCTGGCTCCCCGTTTTACCGACCTCAAAAGGATGGGAGGCTGAGCCAACCTTGAGCTGCTGAGAATCGAACTGCCGAACTGCAATCAGCAGAAATAGCCATTGTAACTTTCAATGGTCAGTAAGTGAACTGTTATAAGTTGAGAACTACCTGTACTGCTTATTGAGAAGCCAGTGGCATATTTCAGGAAAACTTTAGAAGAAGTGTAATATTAATGCAGAAGTTAGAAGAGCGAGAGGCATGCTTGAGTGACACCAACTTGAAACTACAAAACACTGTAGTAATTTTGTTTTAATGTAGTGCTGTGGTGCGTTTATCTCAGTTACAGTAGCTGGAAGTACTTGGGCGATTGAGAAAAAGTTGGGCCTGACTTGATGCAGATTTCAAGATAATAAAAGCATTGTAGGATAGAATGGAAAGTTGAAAAAAAAAACTCCTGGAAGAATGCACTTCCATATTGTTACTTAGAAGATGGTATTTCAAGCAAGATCAAAGAGTGTCTTTACTTTTTTATAGACATACTAATGTTGATGATGAAAATTAGAATGATATACCTGGCATTGCGTTCCTTCAAGATTCTTGTATTTTTTTTTCTACTTCTCTGTCTAGTCTACAGACCTAAATAGCTATATTTCTATCTTTTTTTTCTTATTCTATTATCTAATTCTGCATGCATTAAATAATGTTGTTGCAGGTTGTGAAGTTGTGTCCGACCTATCATCAACGATCCTCCAGGCCTTTCTGTCCTCTACCATCCTCTGGAGTCCATTTAAGCTCAGGCCTACTGCTTCAGTGACTCCATTCAGCCACCTCATTCTCTGTCATCCCCTTCTTCTTTTGCCCTCCATTTTTCCCAGCATTAGGCTCTTCCCATTGAGTCCTTCCTTCTCATTAGGTGNTTACCCACCTCGGAAGGATGGAAGGCTGAGTCAACCCTGAGCCAGTGAGATTTGAACCGCTGACCTGCTGAACTAGCAGTAGCCTGCAGTGCTGCATTTAACCACTGCGCCACCTTGGCTCTTAACAATTGTGGCAAGAAAGGTCATCAAATGGGGCAAAACTCACTTAGCAACATAAATGTGGACCTCAATTGCAGTCATAAATCGACGGCTACCTGTATTGGAGCAATCAAGGAAACCAGTAAAGAGATTAAATGTACATCCAGTAAATCTGCAACCTTTTAAAAAATAAACCAGTGGAGAATAACACAACACTAACCATATCATTTATTTTTGGGTAGGTGGTGCCCCTTCCATTTCCCCATCGAGATCTACTTTGGTTGTGAACAGCAGGCAAGAATTTAAGCTGACCTGTACCGACGATGGCCCTGTGTCCTGGGTCTTCAACAGTGCTGACCCCTTCGGGAAGTTAAAGAATTTCAAAACCAACGAAGTGCATGTTACCCAGGCAAGACCAGCAGACACGGGAACCTATCAGTGCAATGGCCGGAGAAACTCCAACAGCTCCATTTATGTTTTCGTTAAAGGTAAATTTCATTTTCATCTCTTCGCTTTCCCTTTCTTGGCCGCAAATGCACATTTTCTAAAATGCACTAGGTAGGAAGGCTGGATTCAGTTTGGATTCGTGGCAGTGGTGGGATTCCAATAATTTAACAACGGGGTTTCTGCCCTAATGGCCAGTTGGGTAGGCATGGCTCGGTGGTCATGTGACTGGGTGGGTGTGGCCAACTCAACGTCACTCATGTCAATGGGCGCTTCGCATCAACTGTTACAATGTAATGAGGGTTAACCGGAGAGGCAGTTTCTGTAAGCAGGGCAATAACGATTAGGCTAGAAGCAACACCAGAATGTTTCCCTCCTGCCTTCCTTACAGGATTAGCCCAGCAAAGTGGAAAAAAACAAAAGGAGATTTCTTCCATCAACCGGTTCTCCGAACTGCTTAGAAAGTTAACAACCGGTTCTCCCGAATAGGTGCGGACTGGCTGAATCCCACCACTGATTTGTGGCCATCCCGTTT